GGCCCGCGGAGTGTGAGGGGACCTTCCCCTCCTTGACTGCGAGTGTCTTTGCTAAACAGATTATTCTTGAACCCCACGGAGGGGAAACCTCCGGGGAGCCGATGTGTTCCCTCTCTCTGTCTGGATCTAGAAAGAGCCAGGGGAGAGGACTGACAGGGACCCACTCACAGGACAGCCGACGTGCTGGTCGCTTTTCCCCAAGAGCAGCCCGTGATCCCTGGCAGCAGGCGCACCAGGGGGAGCGTATTAAACACACCGACTCCTGGGCGCCCACCCCGCTGGGCTCCCGGCCTGGGCTCCGCAGGTGGGGCCTGGGACTCTGCACTGTAGCCCCACCCGGGTGATCCGGAGGCACTGAGGTCCTAGGGCCTCTGCTGTAGGTGCAGCATCGTCCCCTCCTCAGAGCAGGACGCTGGAGCCGCGATTTCTTGTTTTAAAAAAGTTATGAGAGTCACGGGAGAATCCTCAAGCTTCACTGCAGGGGCCCTTACGTGATTCGGGGGCCGCGTTCTGGCACGACAAGAACATTTTGGCGGGAGTGTCTCAGTCCTCAAAGCTCAACAAAGAGCCGCCCGCACCCCCTGCTTCAGGGCCCCCGGGGCTGCAGAGAGGACCGGCGGCCCCTCCTCCACCCAGAGCCCGGAGCCCACTCTCTGCACAGCCGGCCTTGAGCTGCCAGAAAGGCAAGGATGAACCACCGCCCAGCCCCTCCCTATGTGTTTAGATCTCTGTTCCTTGACCTTCAAAGACTCTGTCTCCTCAGTTTCTCTCCCACTCTCGCCCCTCCTGGTCCACCCACCCCGCACAGGCCCCGCCTCTCCCTCTGCACCTGCCGCAGGTGCAGAGCCAGGCCCAGGGCTCCTTCTGCCCATCCCTCCTCCCCCTCCCTCCAGCGCGAACTGTCTCCAGAGTCCTGACCCGCACCTGTGTCCTGTCCAATGTCTCCTCCTGCATCTGCCACGGGCTCCTCACGTAACCGCAAACTGTCCCCCTCATTCCCTGCCCCTTAAGTGTGACCTTTCCCCTGAAGTCCTTCTCCTGGCTGATGGTACCTCGTGACCCCCATCACCCCCACCACAAGGAATTTTAAAAATGCATATTCCTGGGCCTTGCCGCAGAACTACTAAATCTGAGCCAGATCTTCCAAAACGTTGCAGTAGGTGTATTTCAAGCTCTCCAGGCTTTTATAATAACCAAGCGGGGTCAGGAGTCACTGGTCCACGGGCCTCGCTCACGTAGGAGATGCTGATCCAAGCCTTTGGAAACAGCTTGGAGCTGGAGCCATAAGTCTGGGAACGATTTACATAGAAAGTGAATGAAAAGCTGCAGGAGTAACTGAGCTCACCGAGGGAGAGAGCAGAAAATGAGATGGGCAGAACAGAACCCTGGTAAAAAGTTCCCACAGATGCAGGAAAAGAAGCTAGAAGACACAGGGGAAATGGGAAGAGAGGTAGCAGGAGACTAAATAATAGCTGTGTCCCAAAGCCACAGTTTTGGTGAAAGTTTTGCAAAGCGGCCTCTGACCACAGAAAATGCCGCCATGAGGAGGAGGAAGGGGCGGGTCCAGATCACGACTCTCGTCTTGGTTGATCCTGACCCATCAGCCAACGTGGGTTTTGCTTGGCTGTTTGTGTGAGGGGTTTTCTAACACACTTGGCCGTCCGGTTGGTGGCCCGCCGTGTCCCAGGGAAGCTATGACTTCATGGGATGCACAGAACGGGAGTTGGACTGTGGCTCCTTAGGTCCAGGGGCGAAGGTCAGGGCACAGTCAAGTCTGGAAGACCCCAGAGGAGTCTTCTGGGTGGGGCTGTTCCAAAGATCCCAAGATGAGACACAGGAGTGTCACCGAGGAAACAAGAACCAGTGAGACCGGGGGCACCCTCGAGAAGGGCCCTGAGATCTTCAGGGTGTCCCCAAACCCACAGTTCCAGGAGCCACCAGGGAGGCCTGTACCTGGGGACCTCGCGTGCTGGGGTACATGCTGCCTGCATGACCCAAGTCCAAGGCCCTCCTGGAAGGAAGGGGCATGGCCATTGGATGCACCACGCCAAGGGCAGTCTGCCCCCTCGGCCCCATAACACAGTGGCCCTAGAGAGGCGCCAGGACGAAGCCACAAGCCCAGGGAATGGGAGCAAGGTGCTGAGGAGAGGGCAGAAAGGACCCAGCAGAGGCAATGCAGACCCTTCCTCAGAAAAATTAAAGTTAAAATATTACACTTGCGTGTACACATACATCCACCAAAGGAAGTTCAGGGACAGAGCTGGCAGAATGAGGCAAGTGCATCTGTGTGTGTATCTGTATATATGTGTATCTGTGGGTGTGTCTGTGTATGTTTTTGTGTGTGTGTCTGTGTCTATGTGTGTGTCTGTGTACATGTGTGTGTCTCTGTGTCTGTGTATGTGTGTGCCTGTGTGTCTGTATCTGTGTATATATGTGTGTGTCGTGTGTGTGTGTGTGTCTGTATATGTCTGTGTGAGTGTGTCTGTATGTGTCTATGTGTCTATGTGTGTGTGTGTCTGTGTACATACATGTGTGTTTTCTGTGTCTGTGTATATGTGTGTGTCTGTGTCTGTGTGTGTGTGTCTGTGTACGTATATGTGTGTCCCTGTGTCTGTGTATATGTGTGTGTAGGTATGTGCGTGTGTGTCTGTGTGTGTTTAGGATGGAGGAAACCCTCCATCTTCCGAGCATGCTTCCTTAAATTACTGTTACCGCCCAACCCGTGGCTTGAGAGAGGCAGCAGCTGCCTTAGCAACTGGAACCCCCTTCAAGCCCCCATGCTCTCCTGTGCAGCCCGAATTCCTAGTATGAGGTCCCCCAAGTCCTGACTGCCCCCCACTGCCCTCCCTGCACTGTGTGGCCTCGCCCTCATTGGGGAAGACGGAAGAGC